GAAATCTGAGGTAACCACCAAAAACGTAATACAAACCGTTCCATTACACCTTATCTCCGTCTACCATTGCGTACTGAGCCACCAATGATTTGCCTGCAATCCTATTGCAGAGCCGAAGGACACGAACACGACTTTGAAAGCCAATCTGCGTCACCCGGGAGACCACGAATAGTGCCACAAGGTGGAACCTGCCGGATCGATCGCTCACACCTACCACGACCACTAAGTACCCGATACAGTTTGTGTTATATGTGCAATCCACATGTAAAATAAAGCTTTACGGAGGTAGAATCATGAGCAGCATCAGTCCTTAAATAGTAAGTCCGAAAATAAAAGTCGCTCATTCGACCCGTTTCCCACCTCCATAACGCCATCATGGTCGTACCCCCGCCAAATGCAAAAGATTGGGTCATTTGTTCGGCTCCATTGTATGTGTGGATTTGAATCCAGGCCCTCAACGCTTTTAGACGATCGTGATTTTCTAGATAGGTTCTAGAATAGTAATTCACAAAATTATGAAGACCCCGTTTCAGATCTACAAACGACTTCTTAGAAGATTTATTCCCGAATTAGGGGACTGCACAAACTTATGGCGCGCACTGTAGGCTGTTGATTTTTTCCTCAACCAACCTCAACAATTGCTCCAACATAAAGAAAAATATGAGAATAGTAAAATATGAGAACCATCATGTACACTCTGACATTTAATATGATAAACCATGATATCGGTTCTGGCATCAATACATCTGATTCCAATTTCACGGCATTTTACGAGTATTGCCCGAGACCATATCGAATGCGCACAGGCATTTTCAACAAGTTACATTGGTTTCATTTCAGATCGAGTTGTGCATTTACTGTAGTGATAGGCAATTTTCGCACATTTCAGCGTATGTTGGATGCAGAGCTTATTTAAGCATTGAAAGGGTTGCTCACACTGCGACCAGCGATACTCGACACACTTTACGAGCTCGTCTCGCCGCTCACTGTCTTGGCTAGAGCATCAATAATTATCCCTGTAGATAGCACTACGTACGGTATTCTCTTCACGTTGAAGAGGGCACGATGCATACGGTAATAGTGCTATTACCGCTTCTGCCCATGTTTATATCCTTCAAATCACACTATCTCCTAAAACACGACGACACGTTGGAAAATCGTAGTCCGCTTTACAATGGCGATGAATCATTTGTAAAGCGGGATGTACGCCAAGTTGAGAGGGAACGACGTTGCACGGATTTCCCCCTCGTAGCACACAGTGAGC